TAATTATTTGCAAATGTTAACTATTTTTGTCAAAGTTGGGTGTCAAAGTCAAAGTACTTAAGGCCGATGAGGCATGAGACAGTGAGAAGTAGAGCTGTTGTGGTGCGTAAGTCGAAGGTTCGAATCCGCAAGAAAGATAACCATTTCATTCGTTTAAAATTGTAAATTGGCACTCGCATATGCCAGGGAGTCAGACCTGCCGTCAGCTTGCTTGTAAGTAGTTCTTAAATAAAGAAGGGAGCCATCGACAATCTTTACCAGTAGTCTGTTGCTGTCGGCATTTGCTACTACTCCAGCTACTTTTCCAAATGTATTCAAACTTTCAGGGAGAGCGAATACGGAGATTTTGATTCTTTATATTTAATGCTAGTTAGAAAAGCCAGCGACATCAGGAATCACAGATGAGAAAATATGCCTCTCACAGCGATCTCACCAAAATCACCGAGGTGTGGAGCCGCAGATTGTTTGAGAAACATTCATGTGTTTGATTCAGTCAGCTAGGCCAAACCTTTCTATCTTGAGTTGTTCTCCACTAGTCACTTCATAAACTTGCCAATGAAAATAACAAGACGTCCAGAGTAATCTTAAGGGGGAAGAGAAATGAGGGTTACGTTATACTTATTGAAGGAGAGTACTGTATCGACCTAATTTTTGAAAAAATTTTCATGATGCACAAAAAATGTTTCTTGCCTCATCCACTTTTTCTGGAATATTGAGAGACTTCTTGGATTTTAGACCGTCGAGAATTCGCGGTCGATCGAGTGAGTGCGGATTTGTCATTTCCATCACTCGTTTGCCATTCTCATTTGTCTTCGAGGATGGCTCACTGTAATCACTATCCCAGAAATTTTGCGTTCGAAATGAGAATCGCTGCGAAATGGCGTCACAGCTTATAGACTTCTCCAGCTTCATCGTACTTTCGCTGTCGGTATCCTGAAGACTTTCTTAATTTTACTTGGGATTCATAAGTTCAATCGCAATCTCTGGAATTTGTAAAAAAATTTTTTTGAAAAAACAAATTATTCAAATTTATCACTTATGTTGTTGTGCTGCTGAAAAGTAAA